CCCCCTGGAGCAGGTGCGGGCCGCGCTGCCCACCCCCACGCTCTCCGAAGGTGAGTCCTGCCCGGGGGGCTGGAAGGGCTGTACTTGTACCCCTTGTGTGCCCCCAGGGGCTGGCAGTGCCCCTGGGCTAGGGGAGGAAGGGCTGTCCCTCTCCGTGTCCCCGCCATGTCCCCAAGTGTCACCTGGCACTGGCACAGTCTGTGTCAGCGCGGTGGGGGCTCGCCCGCAGGGAACGAGCAAAGTGGGCGCTGTTTGGGGACAAAGGGGACAGCGGCTGTCCCAGGCAAGGCCTGGCTCCGCAGATCCCAGCCCGCGGGTTCCCTGGGTTCCTCGGGATCAGCCCCGCCCCTGAGCCCGCCCCACCCCCAGACGACAAACAGGTGCTGCAGAACCTGAAGCGGATCCTGGCCAAGGTGCAGGAGATGCGGGACCAGCGCATGTCCCTGGAGCAGCAGCTGCGGGAGATGATCCAGAAGGATGACATCACCACCTCGCTGGTCACCACTGACCGCTCCGAGATGAAGGTGGGCCTGGGGACACCCCTGCGTCCCCCTGGGGACCGCTCTGTCCCACAGCCCCCAGACCCTCCCGTGTCCCGGCAGAAGCTCTTCGAGGAGCAGCTGAAGAAGTACGACCAGCTCAAGGTGTACCTGGAGCAGAACTTGGCTGCCCAGGAGAACGTGCTCAAGGCCCTGACGGACGCCAACGTCAAATACGCGGCCGTGCGCAAGGCCCTGGCCGAGGTGGAGCACAAGTGAGTGAGGAGGGCAGCCCTGGGGGGGCTCAGAGCCCAGGAACAGCCCTCACTTCTGTCCCGCCCCACTGCTGGGCTGTGGTGGCTTTGTCCTGTCCTTGTGCACATCCCAGTGGGAGGCAGAGGGTCCCACAGGTGCCTGGCGCTGGGTGCCCACCTTTACCCTGGCACTGCGTCCTGCTGAGCCCCCCCGTGCCCTGTCCCAGGTGGAACACGACTGTGCAGACCCTGGTGGCCTCCTACGAGGCCTATGAGGACCTGATGAAGAAGTCCCAGGAGGGGAAGGATTTCTACACGGACCTGGAGGGGAAGGCGGCCAAGCTGCTGGAGCGGGCCCGGGCCGCGTGCCAGGCCAGCGAGGCCCACCGGCAGCAGCTGCTGGAGAGGTGGGTGGGCACTGAGACCCCCGGGGCTGAGAAGGGCCTGGGGAGCTGTGGGTGGTGGTCTGGGGGCAGGGGGAGTCTCCTGGTGCCCGTGGGGCAGTGGGGAGCAGCACCCCGCCCCACACTGAGACCCCCGCCCTCCCCAGGGAGCTGAAGAAGCAGCCGCCCCCCCGGCCCACGGCCCCCAAGCCCCCCCTGCAGAAGAAGGCGCTGGACGAGGCCGGGGGCCCCGAGGCCGCCGAGCTGGGCTCCCTGGCGCTGTCGGAGCTGCCAGAGGAGCTGCGGAGCCTCCCCCCGGAGCTGCTGCCCGGGCCCCTGGGCCAGCTGCCGGCCCCAGCGCTGGCCGCCCTGGCCGGGGGGCTGCGGCCCGCCGAGCCCTACATGCTGCCGGGGGGGGTGGCCAGCGCCCCGCTGCCCCCCCTGGCCCCCACGCCCCCCTTCCCGGGGCACTACCGCCTGCCCGGGCCTCCCGCCGTGCCCGGGCCCTTTCCTGCCCCCGGGGGGGTCCCGGGGCAGCTCCTGCAGCCCTCGGCCCCGGCCCCCGGCCCCGCCGCCCCCCAGCTCTTCCCGGCCGCGCCGCTGATCCGCGCCCCGGCGCAGCCGGCCTTCGGGGGGGGCCCCCACGTGCCGCCCCCGCGCTCGTCCCCCCAGCACGGGCCCCCGGCCGTGGGTGCCCAGCCGGGGCTGGGGGGCCACGAGCCCCCGGGCACCCGCCCGGCCACCACCACGGTGGACAGCGTCCAGGCCCCCATCTCCAGCTGCTCCGTGCCCCCCCGGGGACCCGCGGGCCCCTTCCTGCCCCCCCAGCGCCCGGGGGCACCCCCAGCACCCTTCCCCTACCCCGCGGGGGGGGTGCAGCCTTTCGGGGCGCCGGCTCAGGCCCCCTTCCCCCCGGCACAGCCCCCGCCCGCCTTCGCCCAGGGCCCCCAGCAGTTCCCCCCGGGTCCCTTCCTGCCCCCAGGCCGAGCCCAGGCCCCCCTGCCCTTCCAGCAGCCCCCCCGAGTCCCCCTGGCGCCCCCGGCCCAGTTCCCGCAGCAGCAGCAGCGCTTCAGCGCTCCGGGGGCGCAGCTGCCCCCGCCGGCCCCGGCGCAGGCCCCGCTGCCGCCCCAGCTCTACCAGCTCCCGGGGCAGGACCAGCTGCCCGCCACGGGCCTCGCCCCGCACCCGGGGGCCGTGCCCTTCCCCAGGACCCCCGCCCAGAGCGGCCCCCCGGCCCTGGGCGGGCTCCAGCCGGTGCCCGCCGTGTCCCCCGCCCTGCCCTTCTGCCCCAGCCCGGCTCCCCCCGGCGCCCAGCTGCCCCCCGGAACCATGGCCCTGGGTCCCCCCGCGCCCGCCCCGCCCAGCCAGGCCCCTTCCCCCGGGCCGCTGCCGGGCGCCGTGGTGGTCCAGGGCCCGCTGGTCCCGTCCCCGGCGCCGTCCCCGTCCCCAGCGCTGCCCATGCAGCCCCCGGCGCCGCGGCCCCCGCCCGCGCTGCCCCCGCCGGGCTCCGCGGAGGCGCCGTTCCCGCGGCAGAGCCCCTGCCCCGCCGACCTGCTGTCCTCCAGCCCCGAGAGCCAGCCCGGCGGCTCGGCCGCGCCCGGGGGGCTGCTGCAGCCCACCAAGGCGGGGGCGCAGGAGGGGCAGCGGCCCCGGGCCGTGCAGCTCATCGAGGCCGACCCGTACGCGGAGCCCGAGCGCATCCGGCGGCTGCTGGCGGAGCTGGAGCGGTTCCGCGGCCTGGCCGAGCGGCTGGAGCGGCCCGCGCCCGGCGGCGGCTCCGAGCTGGACGCGCTCTGGAAGGAGCTGCAGGAGGCCCAGGAGCGCGACGCCCGGCAGCGCTCCATCGCCATCGCCCGCTGCTACTCCATGAAGAACCGGCACCAGGACATCATGCCCTACGACCGCAACCGCGTCGTGCTGCGCTCGGGCAAGGACGACTACATCAACGCCAGCCGCGTGGAGGACCTGTCCCCGTACTGCCCCGCGCTCATCGCCACCCAGGCCCCGCTGCTCGGCACCGCCGCCGACTTCTGGCTCATGATCTACGAGCAGAAGGTGTCCGTGGTTGTCATGCTCGTGTCCGAGCAGGAGCTGGACAAGGTGCGTCCCGTCCCGGGTGTGGGGCCGGCCGGGCGGGGTCCCGGGGATGGGACACCCTGCCCGGTGCCCGTGGGCGGGTGCCACCGGGCCCTGCGGGGCCCGAGGGTCCCCGGGCTGTGCTGACGGCCCGTCCCGCGGCAGAAGGTGCTCCGGTACTTCCCGTCGGAGCGGGGCCAGCCCGTGGCCCACGGGCCACTGACCGTGGTGCTCACCAGCCTGCGTGTGACCCCCACGCACGTGGAGCGGATGCTGACGCTGCAGTACCGGGACCAGAGCCTCAAACGCACCGTGGCCCACCTCCAGTTCACCTCCTGGCCTGAGCTGTACGCGGGGGGACAAAGCGGGGGTCGGGGGGCCCTGGGAGCCCTGATCTTGGGTGGGGGCAGTTCTGGGACCCGGGCTCCAGGGTTGGGGAGGGTTTGGGCAGCCCTGACCCATCGGGGGGCCTGAGTGCAGAGCCCCCCCAGCGAGCACGCGTTCCCCCCCAGGGGCCTGCCCGACAGCAAGGGGAGCCTCCTGCGCTTCATCCAGGAGGTGCACGGCCATTACCTGCACCAGCGGCCGCTGCACACCCCGGTCGTGGTGCACTGCAGGTGAGCCGGGCCCGGGGCTCCCGGGGCGGGGCAGAGGGGCTCCCCCTCCTCTGCTGGCTCTGTCACGGCTCGGGGGTGTCTCCGCAGCTCCGGCGTGGGCCGCACCGGCGCCTTCTGCCTGCTGTATGCCGCCGTGCAGGAGGTGGAGGCCGGGAACGGCATCCCGGACCTGGCGCAGCTGGTGAGGCGGATGCGGCAGCAGCGCAAGCACATGCTGCAGGAGAAGGTACTGCGGGCGGGGTGCTGCAGCCGGGGGGCGTGGGGCTGCACCCCCCGGGCCTCACCGTGTCCCCTCCCCGCAGCTGCACCTCAAGTTCTGCTTCGAGGCCGTGCTGCTCCACGCCGAGCAGGTGCTGCTGCGCCACGGCGTGGGCGGCCCCAGCCTGGCCAAGCCCCCCAACAGCACCTCCCCCAAGGTGGGTGTAGGGGCGTGCCGGGGGTCTTCGGGGAGCTGTGCCACTGCCAGGGCTCACGGGGCCGCGCTCCCCCAGCTCTACTTCCAGCAGGACCCCCAGGACCTGGTGCTGGGGGGGGACGTGCCCATCAGCTCCATCCAGGCCACCATCGCCAAGCTCAGCATCAAAGCGGGGGGGCCCGGTGCCGAGCCCGGGGAGGGCTGGGGGGCGGACCCCGGCCCCGCTCCGGGCCCCGTGGAGCCCGAGGTGCCGCTGGCGATCCCTGACGGCGTCGTGGATGGTGTTGGTGCCCCCGAGCCCGAGCCCCCCGCCCCGCGGCCGCCCCTCCCGGAGGCGCCGGGTGACACTGAGAGCAGCAACCACGTCGGGGGGGAGAGCCCCGAGGGGCCGGGGGGGCCGCCAGAGCCCCCCGCTGCCCCCCCGGCCTCCTCCTCCTCCTCCCTGGAGCTCTTGGCCTCGCTGACGCCCGAGGCCTTCAGCCTGGACGCGTCCCTCAAGGGCAAGCAGCGCATGAACAAGCAGAACTTCCTGCAGGCACAGCCGGGCGAGGGGCTCCGGGCGCTCCGGCCCAGCGACGACCCCCTCAGCATGCTCGACCCCCTCTGGACCCTCAACAAGGCGTGAGGGGGGCGGGGGCCCCCCGGCCCCCAGCCCCACTTTGTTTGACTCCAGGTAGAACTGACTTTTTCAGCTCTTTGCTACTAAAATAAAGCGAGTTTATCTGCAGGGCCGGGCCCCGGTGCTGCCGGAGCGGGGGGTCAGGGCTGAGCCGGGCTCGGGTTAGTTCCGTTTAATGGATGTTCTGCACACGTTATAAAACACGATCCGTACAAAAAGCGTCCCCTGTACAGCACAAAGGTACAGCTGGGCGAAGGCCACCCGCGGGGCTGGGCCGGGGTCCCGGGGGGCCCCCCTGCCCCAGGCCGGCGCCGCCTCTACAATCACCGGGGGTCGAGAACAGACGTCGTGGGCGCTCGGGGCACGGCGGGACGGGCCGGGAGCCCGGCCCGGGCGGGGCCGTGCCCGGGGGAGCACCGGCTGCTGCCCCGGCCCTGGCTGTGCCCTGCCCGGGTCCCTCCCCAGCGCCTGCAGGAGGGGGGCGAGAGCTCCGCTCCCAACCTGAGAAAAGCCTCCTCTGGCCCCGCAGCGGGAGGAGGAGGAGGAAGGGGAGGAGGAGGAGGAAGGTGCTATTGCTGCAGACGGGGCGCAGGAGGGAGCCGGGCAGGGCAGCTGTGCCAGGGCACGGCAAGGGCAGCGCTGCCGGGGCCGGGCCCCGCGCCCCCTGCCCCAATAAATAACTATTTACAGCGTATAAATAAATAGAGTGGGGGCAGCTGCGGCCCCGGGCGGGCTCGGGCCGGGCCCTGCCGCGCCCTAAGGCACGTGGGGGCCGAGCCGCGCCCAGGAGGGGCCGGTCCCGGTCCCGGTCCCGGTCCTCTCCCGTCTGCCACCCGGGGCTGTCCGAGGGCTGTTCGGTGTCCTGGGGCGGTGCTGGCCCGGGACAGCCACTGCTGGGTGTCCGGCCTGGGAGCCACCACGCTGTCCCCGCTCTGCCCTGTCCCGCCCCGTGTCCCTCTGCACCATGGCGCTGCCGGGGCTCCCCGAGTCCGCTTGGAAGGTGCCGGACCGGGGAGAGCAGAGGAGGGCGGCGGCCCCACCCCGCTCGGTGGCCGGGCTCGCTCCGGTGGCACGGATGGAGCACGGAGCAGGGGCCCTGTCCCCTCAGGCACAGCCCCGAGCCCCGCCGGCCCCTCCTCCTGCTCAGTCCAACTTCTCCAGCACCGAGGGCACGTAGACCAGGCTGAGCTCGCTGCCGAAGTTGCAGACGATGGCGGCGTTCTCCAGCACCAGGATCTGCCGCGCCGGCTGCGACTCGTTGCTCTTGCCCAGGTAGACGGTCTGTAGCAGGTCCCCGTAGCCGATGTCCCAGAAGGACACGCAGCCCTGGCCCCCCGTCACCAGCAGGTTGTCGGAGATGACGCCCAGGCTGGCGCCGCAGCCCAGCTCCTGCGGGAGGAGGGCGGAGAGCTGAGCTCCGAGGGCTGCGGGGGGCAGAGCCCGGTGCCACACCCAGCCTGACCGGAGCCTTTGCGTGTCACGGGGAGGCTGACATGGAACAGAGGTGTCTGCAGGGTCTGGTGGGGGCCTGGAAAACCCAGGAGGACCCCTGAGGGTGTGAGGTGGAGCTGGGGAGTCTCAGCCTGGAGAAAAGGGGGCTCAGGGGGGCCCTTGTGGCTCTGCACAGCTCCTGCCAGGAGGGGACAGCCGGGGGGGTCGGGCTGTGCTCCAGGGAACAGGGACAGGAGGAGAGGGAACGGCCTCAGGCTGGGCCAGGGCAGCTCAGGGTGGACACCAGGAGGAATTTCTCCATGGAAAGGGGGATCAGACTGTGGAAGGGGCTGCCCAGGGTAGCACAGCAGTCCCCTTCCCCAGAAACATTTAGAAGCCCTGTGGATGTAGCACCCGGGGACACAGTGAGTGGGGTGGCCTTGGCAGCGCAGGGGGTGGTTGGACTCCGTGGACTCCGAGGGTTTTCCAACCCAAGCAATGAATTCCTGGTTTCCTGGTTAGCCCCCCCAGCTGCCCCCAGCTCCCACCTGCTGGATGGAGTAGAGCTTGATGCCCGAGCTGCGGTCCCAGATGCTGATGACGTCGTCCAGGCCGCTGCTGATGACGCAGGACGTGGTGCAGGTCAGGGAGGTGACGTCCCCGCGGTGGGCGAACATGTGGCTGACGCGGCTGCCCGTCAGCACGTCCCACAGGCAGATGGCCCCGTCCTGGCCACCGCTGGCCAGCACCATGGTCTGCAGGGCACGGGGGCCACGTCAGCGCCGGGGCACGCACGGTGCCACCGACGCTCCCGGCTGCAGGAGGTGAGCGAGCGTGGGCTGCACCCCCGGACTGCCAGCCCAGGGCTTCCCTGCCTGTTCCTGAGCTTGAGCAGGCTGGGGGACAGAGCCCAGGGCCCCCAGGAGCCCCAGTGCAGAGGCACCCGAGGTCACAGGGTGGTCATGGGGTACGTGGGGTGGGAGAGCACCTGGGGGCACACGCTGCTGTAGGGAGCACACTGGGGACTGTCACTCCTCCCAGGGACTGGGGGCAGAGCCTCCCTGGGGGCTCAGGCCCTGTTTCAGCCCTGCTCAGCCCCAGCTGGCAGTGCAGGAACAGGGATTCCCTGCTCCAGGACAGAGAAGCAAGAGATCTCCAGGGAAAGATTGCTGAGCTCACAGTGAACTGGGGGAAAACTCTGGCTCGGCCAGAGAGAGATGGAGGAAGCCAGGTGAGTGCTTCCAGCTGAGCCACTGGCTCAGGGATGGGACCAGGGATGAGCCAGGGATGGGCTGAGGTGTGATCTCAAGGATGGGTTCAGGTAGCAGCTCAGGTGTGAAGGCAGCTGGGGCTCAGGCCCAGCAGCTCCCCGTACCTGGTCGATGTACACGGCAGTGATGGCTCCCGAGTGGCCCTGCAGGGTGAACAGGCAGCACGAGTCCTCCAGCCGGAACACCTGGGGCAGGAGAGGCCCGAGTGAGGCTCTGGGCCAGCTGGGCTCGGGGTGGGGCCACCTGAGCTCCCCACGGCACAACAGGTCACCCTGGTCCCACTGTGGCACAGCCAGAGCCTGCCCGTGGTGCCAGGGGCCACGGGGTGCTGCAGGGCAGGGGCAGGTCACGGCTGGTGGGCAGTGCCAGGGTGGTCACAGGGCAGAGACTGCACAGCTGAAGGGGAAGCGGAGAAGGGACACCCCAGAACCTGGGTCTACCACTCAGGCAATGTCACAGCAGCCTCATGGAATGCTCCAGTCTGGGGGTACAGGGGCTGGAAAGACCCTGGGGTGCTGGTGGACGTGACCAGCTGTGCCCAGGTGGGCAAGAGGCCAATGGCTCCTGGATTGTGTCAAAACCAGTGTGGACACAGCCCAGGGCAGGGACTGTTCCCCTGTGCTGGCCCTGCTGAGGAACCTCACATCCTGGAGGCTGCTTTGGGTCCCCCCCCCCAACAAGAAGACCTGAAGGGGCTGGAGCTTGTCCAGGGAATGGAGCTGGAGCCCCAGGAGGGGCTGAGGGAGCTGGGAAGGGGCTCAGCCTGGAGAAAAGGGGGATCAGGGGGGACCTTGTGGTTCTGCACAACTCCTGACAGGAGGGGACAGCCGGGGGGTCGGGCTCTGCTCCCAGGGAACAGGGACAGGAGGAGAGGGACGTTTAGGTTGGATATTGGGAAAACTTCATGGAAAGGGTGGTCAGGCACTGGAAGGGGCTGCCAGGGCAGTGGTGGAGTGAATGGATTTAAAGGCCACATGGATGTGGCACTTGGGGACATGGGTTAGCGGTGGCCTTGCAGTGCTGGGGACTGGTTGGACTTGGCAGTCTTGAAGAGCTGTCCCCAGCTCAGTGATTCCACAATTCTTTGGCGTCACCCATTCCCGAGGGTCGCACGCTCAGCTCAGGGTGACACTCTGGGCTCTGTCCTTTGACTCCTCGCTGAGCAGACCCCAGGGCCCCCCGAGCCCCCCGGTGCCCCGCTCACCCGCAGGGTGTGGTCCTGGCTGAGCAGACCCCAGGGCCCCCGAGCCCCCCGGTGCCCCGCTCACCCGCAGGGTGTGGTCCTGGCTGCCGGTGACGAGGCGGCCGGCGGCGGCCCTGAGCGCGGTGATGGGCTTGTGGTGCGCGCAGGCCACGCTGTGCGTCACCCGGCAGCGCAGCGCGGCCCCGCGGCACAGCTCCGGCGACGGCGGCACGCTGCTCCTGCCCGGGCCACCTGCGGGCAACGCGGGCCTCAGCTGGGCATGGCCACCTCGGGGCTCTGGGGAATTGGGGCATGGTACCGCAGCTAAGGACAGCTGAGTGAGGGCCTCCAGGGGCAGAGAATTCCAGACTGGTTTGGGATGGAAGAGCCCTCAAAGCCCATCCAGTCCCACACCCCGCCTGCCAGGGGCAGGGACACTTTCCACCATCCCAGGGCAGGGACACTTTCCACCATCCTGGGGCAGGGACACTTTCCACCATCCCAGGTTGCTCCTGGGATAGCCCCATCCAGCCTGACCTTGCACGCTGCCCCCAGGGATGGGGCAGCCGCAGCTTCTCCACGAAATTCATTCCAGTCCCTTGCCACTCTCCAGGGAAGAATCTCTCCCCAGTATCCCATCTGAATCATCCCCTCTGTCCTCTCCAGGAGCAAAGGAACCCCCTGCTCTAAGCAGTCACCCCATGGGCCCCTCTGGGCTGGGCTGTGCTTGGCCAAGGGCTCAGGCTGTTCCCAGGATGGGAAGGGTGAGACAGAGAGAAAGGAGAGAGAGGCAGGAGCAAAGGGCAGCATGGGGATGGTGTCCCAGCACAGGGAGCTCCCTCAGCTCGGCACAGCTCCGGGTGCTTCTGGAGCAGTTACCACCAAAGCTGAAGGGGGTGTGAGGAAGACTCAGCTGTGAGGAAGAAGAGGGAGGAGGGGAAGGCAGGAGCTCAGGGCAGCGCACTGACATTCCAACACCGCTCACCTCGGAACTGCAGGTGGTTCAAGGACGTGTGTGTCTCCAGAGAGAAGAAATCCAAGGAGCCGTTCAGCCGGGCAGCCACGATTCTGAGGGACAGACGTGGGGGCTGAGGGGGCCCCTCCCCGAGCCCCAAACCTGGACACCCCCAGGCCAAGCACAGACCACCCACCCCAGGAGGAGGCTGCACAGAGCTGGGCTGGGAGACTGGACACAGCTCCAAATGGACTGGCCAGTGGCAGTGCCTCTGAACAGCAGTGACCCGAAGGTGTCCCAGCCCTGGAACCCTCTGGATATCCAGCTACTGGCAAGACTGAGGGCTGAAGAACTGGCTGCTGGAGCAGACCTGGAGCCAGGAAAGCTGGTGAGAGGTGGATTCACAGAGGATTAGGCTGGATGTGAGGTTGGACAGCAAGAAAAGGTGGCTGGGCACTGAATGGTCTCCTTTGGGAATGGTGACAGCTCCAGAGCTCAGGAGTGTTTGGACAAAGCTCTCAGGCACAGGGTGGGGTTGTTGGGGTGCCTTGGGCAGGGCCAGGGGTTGGACTCCATGATCCCTGGGGGCCCCTTCCAGCTCAGGATATTCCATGACACTGATTCCAAGGACGAGACATCCCAGCCGAGCCTCTGCTGCCGGGAGCTGCTGTGGAGGTTGGGGCTGGGGAGCTGCAGCACCTGCACAAGGAGTTACCTGTTGTTGAGGAAGACGAGGGCTGTGATGCCGGATTGTCCTTCATCATTGCTGCTGCGGAGGGTCCCCTCGATGGCATCCCACACCTGGGGGAGGAGGGGTCACTGCGGTGACACTGGCCAGAGGAGCACTGGACACAGGGCAATCTGGGATCCTGAACAGCTCTGTGTGCTCTGCTCCCAACCCCGAGCTGAGTGAGCAGGTCACAGCTCCCTGTGCCTGATTCCAGGCTGTGTGACCTCCTGCCTCCCATTGCTGCATCCCTGCTCCTCATCTCCACCTCGGTTACTGCATCCCTGTTCCTCATCTCCACCTCTGTTACTGCATCCCTGCTCCTCCTCTCCACCTCTGTTACTGTGTCCCTGTTACAGCATCCCTGTTCCTCATCTCCACCTGTTACTGTGTCCCTGTTACTGCATCCCTGCTCCTCTTACTGTGTCCCTGTTACGGCATCCCTGTTCCTCATCTCCACCTCTGTTACTGCATCCCTGCTCCTCATCTCTATCTCCTGTTACTGCATCCCTGCTCCTCATCTCCACCTCTGTTACTGTGTCCCTGCTCCTCATCTCTATCTCATCTCCACCTAGGTTACTGCATCCCTGTTCCTAATCTCCACCTGTTACTGTGTCCCTGTTACTGCATCCCTGCTCCTCATCTCTATCTCCTGTTACTGCATCCCTGCTCCTCATCTCCACCTCTGTTACTGTGTCCCTGCTCCTCCTCTCCCCCTTCCCCTTGCCGTGTCCCCGCTCCTCACCTCCAGCTTGCCATTACTCCTGCCAGCCACGATCAGGTTCCCCTGCAGTTCCAGGCTCCAGATGGAGCTCTCCAGGTCCCCTCCCCAGGACTGCGGGGCTGAGGGTTTGTCACAGCCCGCGCAGGGATCGTCCCCGCAGCCGCCCTCGCCCTCGCCGCAGGCCGGGGCGCGGCCGCTGCCGCCGCAGAGCCCGGCGGGGCCGTGCGGGGCCGGGAGCCCCGGGAAGCTCATGCTCCTGCAGCCCGAGCTGCCGTGCTCCTCGTACACCTTCCCAACCAGGCTGCTGAAGTCGTATCCCGAGTCCTTGTGCCGAGCGCCCACGGCCCGCAGCCGCGGCTCCGACTCGGCCGCCTTGGCGTGCTCCAGGAAGTTGGTGTCGATGAGGGAGGTGAGGTCGGGCTGGTCACAGAACAGGGGGGGCTGGGGGGGCCCCAGCAGCCGTTTCAGCTGGTGACTGCTCTCAAAGGAGTCCTCCAGCCCGCTCTTGCCGTCCGGGCTGGGATCCCAGCCCTCCTGGTAGTCGAAGATGCCGCTGCTGTCCCGGCGCAGCCTGGAAGGAAGGCAAAGCTCAGCCCCTCGGCCGCGGGCTGCCTCCCGGAGCAGGGCTGTGGGGACACGGCCAGGGCCATACCTGGGCTTGGGGATGACAGTGAGGCAGTCGCCCGTCTGCGCGTCCCACACGCGGATCTGCCCCACCAGGCAGCAGCTCACCAGCAGCATCCCGTCGCTGGCCAGGCACTCGATGTCCTGCGAGGGAGGAAGGACAGGCACAGCTCAGTGGGGCACCACCGAGGCCTCGGGATCCTGAGGGAGCCTGGTGTGGCTGCACGACTGCAGAGATGATGGATTTTATGTCAGAACTGGCTGGGCTAGGAACTGAGGGACAGTGAGGACATGGATGTCCCTGGAAGGGTCCGAGGCCAGGTTGGATGGGGCTTGTGGAAGGTGTCCCTGCCATGGCAGGGGTGGCATTGGATGAGTTTCCAGGTCCCTTTCAACCCAAACCAGTCTGGGATTCCAGGATCTCTGCCCAGAGACCTCAGTGTGCACTGGACTGCTGCAAATCCGATTCCATCTGTCTTGCCTTCCCTAAAGAATTCTGTCCCAGTTTGAAGGCAGGATCAGGAGCAGAGATACAGCTTTCCTGGGAGACACAGCCCAGCACTGTAAACTCGTCTGTCTGAATGCCCAAGAGCTTTGTTTCTTCTCAGCCATGTCCCTTTCAACCCAAACCAGTCTGGGATTCCAGGATCTCTGCCCAGAGACCTCAGTGTGCACTGGACTGCTGCAAATCCGATTCCATCTGTCTTGCCTTCCCTAAAGAATTCTGTCCCAGTTTGAAGGCAGGATCAGGAGCAGAGATACAGCTTTCCTGGGAGACACAGCCCAGCACTGTAAACTCGTCTGTCTGAATGCCCAAGAGCTTTGTTTCTTCTCAGAACAGGAAGAATCCCAGACTCACCCTGGTGGAAAAATCCCTCCCAGACCAGGGAGTCACACCAGTGACTGATCCCCACCCCATCACCCAGCCCAGAGCACCGAGTGCCACATCCAGCTGTCCCCTGGAGCTCAGCAATGTGGAGGAATCCCAGCAAAGCAGGGAGTGGAATCCCGAGGCGGTGACGGTGGGAACTGCAGACAGCAAGCCCCAGGAGGAGACGAGAACGTGCTGCAGGAATTTCATGCTCCACTAACCTTTCTTTAGGAGTTTTTTCCTAAGCTGGACCTACCATGAGGTGTCCCCTGAGGACCAGGGGCACGATCTCGGTCTCGGGGGGCGAGTAGCCGTAGTCGTCGCAGGGCAGGTCCCCCCGGCGGCGCCGGCCCGGCCCGTTCTGCCCGTAGTTCTTGGGGCACAGCACCCGGTACAGGCAGAACAGCAGCAGCACCAGCAGGATGCCTGACGCCAGGCCCAGAGCAGCCACCCTGCGGGAGACACGGGAAGAAAATAAACTCCACTTTCTAGTCCACGGATAGATTTGGGAAGTCTTGTGCCAGGATTACTCATGTGCTGGTCTGAATTTCTCAGCTGAGAAAGCTTTTCAACAAATTACAGAGATTTGTTGGAAATTAAGGGGGGGTTTAATGGGAAAATGACAATTTCCACATGATTTTGAGGCTTTTCAGGAAGGAAAGTAATGAGCAACTAAGATTTAAGAAAACACCAGCTGGGATGGGGATGGGACAATAGTGTGTTCAGCATGTGCAGATTCAGTCAGGGGTTGTGAGCTGTTCTCTCCACAGAGAGGGAAGCTCCTTGCACCAGAGTTTGATCTAACCCCCAATAAATAATTATCAAATTATATCCAGGTGGTGGCTGCCCCTGGATCCCTGGAAGTTGTCCATGCCAGGCTGGGCAGGGCTTGGAGCACCCTGGGATAGTGGAAGGTGTCCCTGCCAAGGCACAGAGTGGGACTGGATTAATTTTAAGGTCCCTTCTCACCCAAACCATTCTGGGGTTCTGTGAAATCACATTTAACCCCCCAAACTGACCTTCTGCCCTCACCACCCCGTGATCAGCCCCGTACTGCAGCAGGAGCCCTAAGGCTTCCGTGCACAGCCCATTCCTGCCCTCAGCTGATGGAAAACTGCCAGGATGCATCCATTTCCCTCTGCACTGGAGCATCCCCAGCACCCCGAGCCTTGGCAGCGAAGCCTCAGGAGCTCTCTGCCCTCGCAGAGGAGCAGCAGCCCCGGGGGCTGTGGCAGACACCTTACTTGTACAGGGTGACGTCCTGGTGGCCGCGGGGCGGCTCCGGCTGCGGGGCCGTGTCCACGAAGGGCTGGGAGCGCCGCGCCTCCTGCGGGTGCCGCATCTCCAGGGCCTCCTGGGGCTTCAGGTACAGCGTGACTGGGATGGCTGGCAGGATGCTGATGTACCTGAGGGGACAGGGGCAGCAGCTCAGCAGGGCACGAGGGGACAGGCACGAGGGGACAAAAAGCCCAGAAGTCGGGGCGCTTTCAGTGCGTAATGCAGGTGCTCTGAACCAAAGATCTCCTTGGAAATATTCTCCTTGGAGTTATTCCCCAGGTTCAAACCCTTCAAAGAGCCAACAGTGAAATGAAGTCTGATGAGATCAAGTGGATGCCATGAATTTAAGCCTGGTTTCCTGGGTGCTGCAGGCTGGGAGGTCTCACCAAGAAGCTCCTTCAGCTCAGCTGTCTCTTCCTCACGTGTACTATTTCCATCCCTTGCAGGTGATTGTATCAGACCATTGGGGAATTACTGAGGTTGCAAAAGCCCTCTGACACCATCAGGTCGACTGCTCCCCCTTGTGCTGCCAGGCCACAATTAACCTATGTCCCCAAACCCCACATCTGTAGGAATGTTCCCCCTGTTGACGGAGTGACCACATTATTCTTTGTTTGCTTAAAAAAGAAAAAAGCCCAGAAGTTTCTCTCCCCAGTTTGGTAAAAAGACACCTCATAGGACCTTTGGGACTTCACCTCAGACTTGGGGCTGCCAATTGGACAGAGGCCCAAAGATCCCACCTAGGTAATTCACTAAAAAAAAACAGAACAAAGGAAATAATCACTTTTGTAAAGTGTTGTAGCCCTTACACCTAGCTCAGGTTTTTCTCTGTAAGAGCTTTGTTATTTTACCTTTTATTAAACCTTTCTCTATTTCCAGCACAACCTCAGAAGCCATCCTGCTAATTTTAGACCATCCCAAGTAACAAAGCTATCTTGGGTGTAATGGGTTCCTCTCAGAGCTCATAAGACCTGGCTCAAAGAGTAACACATTACACATCCACATGTCTTTTAATCCCTCCAGGGATGGGGACTCCATCCCTGCCCTGGGCCACTGTGCCATGGCCAGAGAACCCTTCTGGGGAAGGAATTTTCCCAATATCCAACCTGAGCCTCCCCTGGAAACCCTTGAGGCCGTTCCCTCTCCTCCTGTCCCTGATCCCTGGGAGCAGAGCCTGACCCCACCTGGCTGTCCTCTCCTGTCAAGAGTTGTGCAGAGCCACAAGGTCCCCCCCGAGCCTCCATTTCTTCTTTTGCAAAATTTAAATCTTCCAGGATCAAGGAAGACACAAGACACCAAGAACACACAAGACCTGGGAGCACAGAGTGGAACAACCCTGACTGCCAGAGGAACAGCCCTGGAGGGTTTGTGAGCTCTGCCCACCCCAGGGGACCTGCTCAGCAGCTCCTGCCAAACACACCTGGAACGGGCCCCACGGAAGCAGGTTATGTGAGCTGGGAGCACGAAGCACAGAGCAAGACAAACCCTCGGGGCCAGCTGCCAGGTCCCAGTGCCAGTGGCACTCCACGCCAGCCCACTTGCCTCTTGGCCAGGGTGATGTTGTAGTAGCTGAAGAGGGCTGGCCAGTGCCTGAAGGACAGCTTCCTCCAGATCTCCTCATCCTCCGCTCCCCAGGTAACCTGTGCCTCCGTTGTTCCCAGCTCCGGCTGCCCCCTGCCCTCGGGGCCCCGGGCCCAGCCGTGCTGCTCGGGCTCCAGCCCCGCCTTCTGCTCCCGCGGCTGCGTCTGGTTCTCCAGCAGCTGCACGGGCTCCGAGGGGAACACGGACAGGTCGATCTTGGGGTCCCCGGCAGGCAGGACCCCTCCAGGAACGGGCATGGCGGGCAGGCCTGCGTCCCCCAGGGGACTCTGCTCGGTGACCTGGGACGTGAGGTAGGTGCGGAGCCCAGCAGGATCCGTGTACACCAGGATTCCGATCCAGATCACTGTCCCGGCCTGTGCAGGATGAGACAGCTGCCTTTAGTGCCACCTCCCTGTCCCCTGCCCGGGCAGGGACACCCTTCTCTCTGTCACTTTCAAGACATTTCCCCCTTAAACCTGTCCAGTGTCTCTCTCCCCATCTTCCTTGTGACTCCCTTCAGGTCCTGGAAGGCCACAAGTAGGTCTCTAAGCTTTCCTTCTCCAGGCTGTGTAATCCCAATTCTCTCAGCCCTTCCTCACAGCAGAGCTGCTCCATCCCTCTAGTGAACTTGGTGCCTCCTCTGGATTTGCTCCCACAGCTCCATGTTCTTCCTGAGAGTGTCTTTTCCCTCAAGTGTTCTGTTCCCAATCCCTGTGTGTGTAGCCAAGCCAAGTACAGAACCAGAACTGTAACAGCTCAGGATGAGAGGAAACAGCCTCAATCTGACCAGAGGAAGTTTAGGTTAAATATTAGGAAAAATTTCTTCCTGGAATGGGCTGTCCAGCCCCGGCCCAGCTGCCCAGAACAGGGGTGATGTCCCCATCCCTGGGGGCATTTAACAGCCACGTGGACGTGGCACTGGGGGACACGGTCAGCGGTGAGCACAGTGGTGGTGCTGGGGAGTGGTTAAAGGCCTTTCTGAGCTCAGTGGGTTTATGGTTCTGTTCTCTGCCTCTCTCAGGAGCGGGATGCTGGCTGTGCTGCCCTCCCCCCTGCCGTGCCCCCTGCCCACCTCCATGCGGCGGATGTCGATGGACAGCACCGTGGTGAAGAAGAACATCTGCAGGAAGAAGTCTGACACCAGCCCCACCACGGCGAAGAGGCAGAACTCCTGTGGGTGGGACAGGGATTAGCTCCCACTGCCCCTCAGAACGAGGGAACCCAGCAGTGCTTTACTGACAAACCCCCTGATCCAACTCTTGTGCTGGCTGAGTCCATGTGAGAACACAAGGTTTTTATTTATTTTAATTATTCTAATTCGCATGCTGTGTTCTTTTTGGCCACAATCCCTCTCTGCTCCCAGGGAACGAGGGACAGGACAAGAGGAAAAGGCCTCAGGTTGTGCCAGGGGAGATTTAGATTAGAAATTAGGGAAAATTTCTTCCCCAAAAGAGGCTATTAGGCATCGGAACTGCCCAGGGCAGGGGTGCCTGGAGGGACTGAACAGCTGTGTGGCTGTGGCACTGGGGGACCTGGGTTAGTGCTGGCCTTGCAGTGCTGGGGAACAGCTGGATTTGATGGTCTCCAAGGCTTTGCAGCCCAGCCAATTCCCTGACTCCGTGCCCCTGCTCCCTGCAGTGGCAGGCTCTGTCCTGCCAGCCCAGGGCAGCCCCACTCACCTGGATGGCCGGGACCAGGGTGAAGTATCCGATGAGGATGATCCCCAGCTCTGTTGCCATGTTCTTCATGATGGACCAGCTCTCATTGCTCAGGCCTGGGGAAGGGCAAGGACAGGTCAGGGGAGCCCCTTCACTGTGCCAGGCATGAACACAGCAAAAGGAGCAGCACTTCCCCTCTTTAAAACCAGGAATCTACAGGCAACAGCCCAAAAGGCTCTTCCAGGCTAAAATTCCTGAGTGCAAAGGCCCCCCCCAAGTTATGAGTCCTGTTTCCCATCTAGGATCCAAACCACTTGTATTTTCAAAACTAAAATCAGCGTCGCTCTAGAATCTCTTCTCCCTGATGTTTAGAAACAGCTTTGAAGATTGCAAATCCCATTTATCCATGGTGTGACCACACTTAAATCCTTCCACAAGCAGAGAGCATTTACAGAATGGAAAAGATAATTCTGTCTCACATTCAGGGGAATTTTGTAGGATTGTGTTCTGCACTTCTGACATCCATGACCTGAGGACAGTGCTCAGTATCCACACCAGGGTACTCTCCCCTACTAGTATTTTTTATATTTATTCAGCCTGTTTCAGTCAACAACCTCAAAAAGCAGTGCCCACAACAACAGCATTATGTTCTTGGAATTCAAAACCAAAGGCTGTACAAGTCACCTGGTTTCCTTCCCAGACCTGGATGAGACCACTGCCCCTCTCCCAGCCCCTGGCTCTCCCACTTTCCCTCTCTGCAGCCCCGAGCAGGAGCCCACCTTGGGCGATGCGCAGCTTCACCTCCAGGTCCACGGGCGTGGACACAACGGACTTGGTGAGGACCAGCACGTTCTCCAGGCCAATCACCACCACCAGGTATGGGAATATCTCCCTGGGGAAACAGAGGCACAGCTGAGGAGGGGATCCATGGGGAAAAAGAAGGGAAGGAGGCAGGTTTGGAGCAAACACACCCCTGGGAGTCGAGGTGAGGAGACCCCAGCCTGCAATCCCTTCTCTCAGTGTCACACTGCACAAGGAAGAGCTTTGTGTTTCCTCTGCCTTGGGCAGAAACCAGCATTTTTGCAAAGCTGCAGGAATTCCTGGGAAGTGCCCCTTGTGGAGCAGCACTAAATTAATCCTGGTGCTTCCCAGGGACAGAGCCCTGTGCTCTCCAGCCCTGGGTAGCAACAGGAACGGGTCTGGAACACCCTGAGGAACTGGGGGTGGGTGGTCACTCATCAGGGAGGGGCAGGGAGTGTGTCCCATCTCCTTTAAGGACCATCCCATTCCACCCCTGCCATGGCAGGGACACCTCCCACTGTCCCACCTGCTCCAAGCCCTGTCCAGCCTGGCCTTGGGCACTGCCAGGGATCCAGGGGCAGCAGGGTCTGAAATGCAGGCACTGCAGGACTCATGTCTGAAATGCAGGTACTGCAGGGCTCATGTCTGAAATGCAGGCACTGCAGTGCTCGTGTCTCAAATGCAGCTCCCACACCCTCCCAGGACAAGGTGGGACAGGGGACATTGCTGCTTCACAGCTCATGCCAGTCCCAGCACTGCACTGAGGTGGGAAGAACAAACTGAAATGTGGCCAGAGAGGTCTAAACCCACCAGCTCAGAACATGTCTGATAATGGATGAAACAAACTGGGAAAAAAGGCACTCCTGTGGCATCTAAGGGTGCCCAAGACAGAAAACACCTTGGAAGGTATCAAAGAATCATGGAATAGTTTGGGCTGGAAGGGACTTTAAAGAAGTCTATTCACTGTCCCAGGCCTTGGACACTTCCAGGGAACACCTCCAGCTGGGAGGTGGATCACAAGGAACAACAGCACCCTGGCTGAGGGGGCAATTGAGCAGGACTCAGGTGAACAGTTTTTGATTCTCTCCATGACAGTTCAGGGCAGAATTCCACCACCACCACCTCTCCTGCTGAAAGAGGTGATGTTACAGACCCCACGTGCAGCCCTGAGCCCACGCCCCGGTGCCCCAAACCTACGTGTGGAGAAGTAGATGTAGGCGAAGAGGATGATGTAGGTGGTGACGAGCGGGATGAGCTCGGCGATGCCGATCTCCTCCTTGAAGTGCACGTGCACCACGCTCTCCTCGCGCAGGCTGCAGTTGGGGCTGGGGTGCAGCAGCTTCAGGCGGGAGCGCAGGCTGCTCAGGAACCTGGGGACAGCAGCACATCACTCACCTTTCCCAAGAGAACAGCTGGCAGCTCCTGCGGGAGCCCAGCGCAGGGAGCTCCAGGGGTGGAGCGGCACAGCACGGCTCTCGCCAGGCCTCGCTCCCAAAGCTGCTCCTGGCTGGCCCTGCCACCCAGACCCTGATTTCTACAGAGGTCTGCTGGGCTGACTCACCAAAACTTTGTTTAAAGCAAAGGCTCGTTAACCACAGTCTGGGCCTGCGGGACAGAACACGCCACGGCCTCAAACACTCCCAGAATTTTCCCAGAATTACAGAATTCTGTGTAAAAATGGCTGGTGGAAGGTGCCACACAGTGGCCCTCAGGACTCAACGTTTTGGAAGAGCAAGTTTAAACTCCCGTGCTGCCAAATCCATCCCAGGCATCCCTTGGGGAATTCTGTGCAGCTCAGAGTCCTCAGATCCACTCAATCCCCGCCAGTTTGGCCAACACTGCCAAAGTGTTCCCACCAGTTGAAGCAATGCTCACTGGAAAGCAAAGCAGTCTCAGTACAAGGAACTGGGTCAAACCAGAGCCACTGGGACGTGGATGCCACAGGAACTCCCCCAGCAGCTCTGGATGCTACAGACCCTGCTTGTGAAGGGCAGCTGAGAACTGAGACTATTTTATTCCCATAAAACACAGCAAGTTTTCTCCCCAGAAAAGCACCTTCAGAGACGTGAGACACTCTAAACCACAGGGAAGTGGAGGGCAAAGGAAACACGAGGGAGGGGAAAGCAGCAGAGCTCACCTGGAGTCGTAGCGCTGCAGCCCCAGGGTGACGGTGTAGGACACCACGCGCCGCCGGTTGGACAGGCTGACCCCGCTGTACCTGCCAGGCAGCCCAAACAGCAGGTCTGCAGAGACAGGGGGACATCAGGGACAGGCTCACACAGGGCAGGGGACACTGGTGGCCCTGCCAGCAGCTCCAGCGGGAATGGCTGCTCTCATCCTGTAGGATATCCCGTGCTCTGGGGAGAGCCCATGGATGGGGTCACACCTGGAGCAGGCTCCAACCACTGTGAGCTCACACTCTGGGTGCTCAAAAATAGCCTTTAAAGCAAACTTCCTTCAGGGTTACAAACCCCTTTTCAGACACGTAATATTGCACATCACACGCTGCCAGCTCTCTGAGGTTCCAATAAAACCAAAGGATCCAACCTGCGTTTAAAGCAGCATTTCCTCTGGCATTATGGGACCACTAACAACCCCACACATGGTCACAGGGTTTCTTTATAACTAAGAGATAAAAACAGTTTTATGATATCCAGATAAAAATAGTTTTATGATATCCATTGTCAGCTCGGGCTGTGTGCAAGGAATTAGAACACACAAGGGAGCAGGATGAATGGTGATTTATCTGTGACAATGAGGCAGCCTTTGAGCATGACAGAGGGAAAAGCCAGGCTGGAGCACGTGCAGAGTGAGAGGAACAAAACCCTGCTATTTTTACCTGCAGAAAGAAGCCTGACTGAGTGATTTGTTCACTTCTCACAAATACAGATATGAAATGAGAGACAACAAAGACCGGGCAGCTTCGGCTGCTGGGAATGAAAAAATACTGCCCAAATTGGCACTATCAGCAATTCCAGTGCTGGAATTAGTCAAGATGGAATAACAATGAAGCTGTAGGCAACTCTCAGCTTCCCTGGCTCACCTTTGAGAGTGGCTGACGTCTGCAAGGTCTTTGGCTCATGCTGGTGGATGGTTTTGATGATATCTGGGTCGGCATTGAAGCGCTCGCGGTCGTTCTGCCAGAAGTTGCCCGGGGACAGCAGCAGGCAGCCGTGCTCTGGCAGCAGATTCCTTAGCTTCCTGAGGCCAGGCAGCAGGTCTGTCACCTGCAGACAAACCTCCTCCAGGCTCCTGACCCCGGAGCTGAAAGGCAAACACAGGCCTGTGGGACCCCACGCAGGCAAAGGCGAAGCGCTCGGAGAGGAGCGTCCCAGGGACCTGCAGCAGCTGTGGCTGCTCTTCCTCCTCACAGCTGGGAGCAGGAGCTGGGGCTGCCTGCAACTGTGAACAGCCTCCAGAGCTCCATCAGCATTCCTGGGGGCTGCCTGCCCCCACAGCTCTCGCTCCTCATCTGTCTCTGGTACCACACTTTCACTTTTACACTTCAGACACTTCCACTCGACAGAGAAACTCTCTCTGGAATTCCTCCAGACCTCAAATCCCTCTCTGCACCTCTCTCCACACATGCAGTGGATGTTTCACAGGAGTCCTGCGCAGCCTTCCTGCGGTGGGTCCTTTGAGGTGCTCTAAAATGCACCCAGGATTCAATGTCTGCACCCGGGGTGGTGTTTCCCCAAGTGCCCTGCACTGCGTGGAAAGGAGCATTTCCTGAGAGGTTCAGAGCTGCACACAGGTGTAACTGGAATGAACTGGAACCTGTGCCTGGCATCATCCTCAGCAAGCACCAATTCAAGTAACACTCAGCCTGGGTGCACAACAGGCCCTGGTGGGAGGTGTCCTGGGTTGTAAGGTAAGTGTGTGTTCTATTTCCACCTGTCACAGCTGGGGCAGTCATCCTCTGTCCATGGGGCAGTTTTCTTTATCTCTTCCACAACCAGTCCTCCCTCCAGGAGACCTCTGCTGTTCATGGGCCATTAATTAATAATTATCTCCCGTTCATGGCCAGTGAGTGTCCCTGCATGGCTGATCAAATTCCAACATCCATGGGGAGATGCTGCACCCAGGGGAGGAGCCAAGCATTCCTACCTGGATACAATCTGAGATTTGGGATGCCCCAGCAGCTTTCTCCTGCCCTGCATTCCCAAGGAGCAGCTTTCTCCTGCCCTGCATTCCCAAGGAGCAGCTTTCTCCTGCCCTGCATTCCCAGAGGAGCAGCTTTCTCCTGCCCTGCATTCCCAAGGAGCAGCTTTCTCCCAAAACAGAAACCTTCTGTACATTTCCCTGGACAGCCTCTAACATTTTTAATTGACACTGGAGCTCAGACCTCTTAAATTACTCCCAAGGATGCTAACAAGCTAAACTTAGGTTTTAAAAATAGAGAAGTTCATTTAAATGGCTTTAATGGAAAAAGTATTCTCTGTTACACCTCCAAAGTGTGTTTATGGTTACCTGGGGAAAGGGGAATGACTTCACACACAACTGTGATGGCAGATCATGAAGAAAACATTTTAGGATATGACATTCTTAAAGGGAAACTTTGCAATTACCAACCAGGGATCTTTGGTCCTTTGGACCCAGAGTAGGGTAGGAGAATCAGTCTCTTAAAAAGGGCTCCAGTTTTACCTGTTTCTAACATTAAAGAGCACCCTGTGCCTCCTGCAGCCAAACAAAGGATTAACGAAGTAATTAAAGATTGAGAACAAAGGGCCATTATATCTAGGATGCATTCACAATTCCCTGTTTGACAGGTGATAAAAGAAGACAGGAGCTGGCATTTAGCAACTGATTATCAAAGGCTGACACAGAACCACTCCCTGCAGCAGGTCCAAATATTGCAAAGCTCACTGCTCCTCTGCAGGCAGCTGCACACAAAGGGAGGCAGCCTGGCACAGAAAAGATGGTTTGGATGCTCCCAGTCCAGGAAGAAGACAAACCCAAACCTGCACTCACTGGGGAAGGAACAACCACCTTCAGCTGCCTGCCTCAGGGATTTATGCACTCAGCCAGCACAGCACACAACTCTTCAGCTGAACTCCAACAAATCAGGCAGGGATACAGATTTACCCATAAATTGGTAGGAGGTGAGGAGGAAAGTGCAGTGAGAACAGCACAGGACATCCAGAACAGATTAAATGGGGAGGGGATAGAAGTGCCCTCAGCTAAGAGCCCAGGCCCCTCTAAAGAGGTGGAATCCCTGAGAACCTGGGGGTAGCAGGCCAAGCTGTAATTCCAGAAGAAACAAAATCAGATGCTGTATCTAGCCCCACTACTGAAAAGGAGCCTCAAAAGATACTTTGGGATACTGCAGAAATCATATTGCTGGATTTTCTATAACAGCAAGACCCTTGTGCACATTAATGAGGAAAATCCAAATCTGGGAATGGCTGGACAGCCACAAGCAGGCTTTGCAAACACTGACAGAAGAGTTAAAAGCATCATTCCCTTGGGCCAGCTCATCCCAGTGATCCTGTAACAGCTGAATGGGATTTTGCTGAGCAGGGGACTTAGTGTAACGTGTTCCAGAAAGGGCCACACGGACTCAGACAACTATTAGGGTTCAGTTCCACAGCATTTAAAGATACTGGAAAGAGAAACACTGCCTGGGAAAAAGGATTATTGTCCCTGACCTGAGCTCTTGAGCAAGCAGAAAAAATTCAACAGGCAAGGACCTTTCAGTCTGTGGGCCAGAGCTAAGAAGGGCAGTGATACAGAGGGTGGCAGTGCACAAGGGGGGTGTCTCAGGGGGCACAGATCAAAGGGATGGCACTGCAGGGCCTGAGACCCTACAGAATCAGAGCTGGGGCTCGGGTCAGCTGGACAACAGCTGTAATCTGGTGCTGCCCTGGCTGCCCCTGCACTCACTGGAGATGTGTGGCTCCCTGGGGCCTCAGCCAAGGCAGGGATGGGCAGGGGAGGTGCAGGGCACCTCTGAGCACTGAAACAGGAGAGGGAGCACTGGGAGGAGGAACCAGAAGTGCACAAGTGGAGAGCTACAGGCTGTACTGCTGGCAGTAAAGGAAACAAAGACAATCTGTGTGGGTTCCTCCACCCCTGGGCTGGTGCCACAGTGGTTGTGGCAGGGGGAAGCACTGCACTGGCAACGGAGGGAAAATGTGGCTGTTGTGTTAATTAAAGGGATGGGACTACCACCAGACCAATAATGATTTGTTGCTTAGATAACATCAGTCTCAAAGGCTATGACAGCAAGCACACGGTTATGGTGTAGGATGATCACAAGTTCTTTGTTACAAGACAGCAATAACTTTCTAATCCAATGGACAGTTCCACAGAGCACGTTTTGCTGTTCTAACCTGCCACTTTCACTTTTTCCTACTGCAACGTGGGCACTTTTGCCCAATGAGATCTGATTACACATACACAAATATGTCTCTATTATATATCTAAACTCTCAGCTTATTCTGCTACAATCACATTGCTACATTATAAAACCCTTCATTATCTTATCTAATACAGTTTCTTACTTACTTCAGGCCCATTCTTACTTGTAACTACAGAAACATAAGTTTCTGATTTCTCTGTTCAGTGTCTGTTTGTACCAGCTCTGCTCAGAGTGACCAGGGACACACCTCACCTGGGCACGACTGGCCCAAAAAAGAAGGTGTTAAGATAACACACCTTATTATCCCCAAGCAAATGGCACCGTGGGGAGTGCCAGTGGTTTGCTAAAGCAGTGCCTTAGGCCACGTCAGTCTGGCTGGGATAAAAGGTCAACTTGTGTTATGTCAGATAACACATTTATTATAATAAATACCACCATTTATTATATTTATTATAATAACTGATATCAGACATAATAAGTACAATAAATCAATCAATAAATAATTTTTATATTATTTTATGTGTGTTTATATATGTAGTATCTTTATCTACATCAATACAAGTGAAATTACTTGTTTGGGCTGTCCTCAGCTACCATGAACAGTCTGGACTTAATGCTATACCTTGTCACTGTAACTTTTTTTTACCAGTAATCATCATATATCTGTATCTACATCTATATCTACGTGAAAAATGCATATTATATGATTGGCTCTTTGCAAATATTAAAATGAATACTGTATGTGTTATGTTGGAAAATTATGCTCTATTAATCTCTTTTAAGTAGTGCTTTATTAATATCTTTTAAGTAGTGTGATAAATATAATTTTTAGGCTGTAGCATAACAGTAAAATAGAAACTATGTGATGTAAGATACTTTTTGTAACCAGCTCAAGGAATGGAAAAGATAACCAAGAAATTCTTTGTACAGAGATAACAGCAACAGACACCAAGATCCCAAGAGAAGAATTATTGCCTCCTTATTGGGAAAAACCAGACTTTGAAGGACCAAGAAAACTGATTTACAAGATGGGGGGGGAAGCTGAAATTAAGCAGAAACACCCTGGTTTGAAGGGAATGTTTGAATCATGTATGAGCTCTATGAATATCCAACGGGCTATTGCTTTTAAGGGGTAACCCTTTGTTAGCAAGGTGTGCTTTGTGGCAGAGTGCCAGGCACCCTGATGTCTGCAATTCTTTCTTACTTGTTTGGGCTGTCCTCAGCTACCATGAACAGTCTGGATTTAATGCTATACCTTGTCACTGTAACTTTTTTTTACCAGTAATCATCATATATCTGTATCTACATCTATATCTGTGTGAAAAATGCGTATTATATGATTGGCTCTTTGCAAATATTAAAATTAATACTGTATGTGTTATGTTGGAAAATTATGCTCTATTAATCTCTTTTAAGTAGTGCTTTATTAATATCTTTTAAGTAGTGTGATAAATATAATTTTTAGGCTGTAGCATAACATTAAAAGAGAAACTATGTGATGTAAGATACTTTTTGTAACCAGCTCAAGGAATGGAAAAGATAACCAAGAAATTCTTTGTACAGAGATAACAGCAACAGACACCAAGATCCCAAGAGAAGAATTATTGCCTCCTTATTGGGAAAAACCAGACTTTGAAGGACCAAGAAAACTGATTTACAAGATGGGGGGGGAAGCTGAAATTAAGCAGAAACACCCTGGTTTGAAGGGAATGTTTGAATCATGTATGAGCTCTATGAATATGCAATGGGCTATTGCTTTTAAGGGGTAACCCTTTGTTAGCAAGGTGTGCTTTGTGGCAGAGTGCCAGGCACCCTGATGTCTGCAATGCTTTCCTTTTTATTGTCTATTATTGTCCTAATTTTCATTACTATTTTCATTACTATTTTATTACTATTAAACTTCTAGAATTTCAACACGAGTGAACGGTGTTCTTCACAATCTGTATACACACACATATATAAATATAATAAATAACTGATATGGACCAAAGGGTCTCACGAGCTCTCCTGAGCCACGTGTCTCTCTGAACAGCCCCAAGAGACAAAACTGATGATTTCAGGACAACTGACAGGGAAAGCCAGTCATGCTGAGGTTAGCCCAGCCTGGGATGGTGCCTGTGGCTCGGAGGGCAAAGGAGCCCCGGAGTTCGGTGCTGTGGGCTCTGTTTGGGGGCTGTGGGCTCTGTTTGGGGGCTGTGGGCTCTGTTTGGGGGCTGTGGGTTCAGTTTGGGGGCTGTGGGCTCTGTTTGGGGGCTGTGGGTTCTGTTTGGGGGCTGTGGGCTCTGTTTGGGGGCTGTGGGCTCTGACCCCATGTTCTGTGGGTTCTGACCTGATGTTTGGGTGGCTCTGGGTTCTGACCCAGTGTGCGGGTGTCTGTGTGTGCTGTCTGGGTGTCCGTGTGTCCTGTCCGGGTGTCTGTGTGTCCTGTCCGGGTGTCTGTGTGCTCTGTCCGTGTGTCCGTGTGTTCAGTCCGTGTGTCCGTGTATCCTGTCCGGGTGTCCGTGTGCTCTGTCCGTGTGTCCGTGTGTTCAGTCCGTGTGTCCGTGTATCCTGTCCGGGTGTCCGTGTGTCCTGTCCGTGTGTCTGTGTGTCCTGTCCGTGTGTCTGTGTGCCCTCAGGCCGCGGGCAGCCCCGGTGCAGACCCCGCTCCGCTGCCCCGCTCCCAACAGCGCAGCGCCCCCGCGTGGCGGCGGCCGGAACAGCGCCGTGCGCCGCCAGGGCCGAACCGCGGGAACGGCGCGGGAACGGCGCGGGAACGGCGCGGGAACGGCGCGGGAACGGCGCGGGAACGAACGGCGCGGGAACGAACGGCGCGGGAACGAACGGCGCGGGAACGGCGCGGGCCTGGGCCCGGGCCGGGCACCGCACCGGCTCCCCGGGCCGGGCACCGCACGGGCACCGCTCTCCGGGCCGGGCTCTCCGCAAGGCTGGGCACGCACACCCGCAGGAAGCTGCCTGTGCATCCCCTCGGGCAGCCAGGGAGGCCGTGGGAGTCACTGGCACTCCAGGGGAATAAAGGCAGCTCGGACAGAGCACCCTCCGGGCAGGGACTGACCCAGCGGCTGCAGCTGCACACGCTGAGGAGCTCCGGAGCGACCACCACTGCATGGTTACACTCACAACAACGCCTTCAGCTGCACAGCACCCCGATCTGCCAGCCATCCCAACAGCGACTGCAAAGGGAGCAGGGCTGGTTCTCCTCCAACACAGCACACTCAGAACCAACAGCGCCTGAGCCTTGCAAGAGAAATTCCCACCTACAGCTCCTGCAAGCTGTGACACTGTCAGCAACAGCAACTGCTGGATTTGTTCTGCGTTTCCTGCTCATTTCATGAAAATATTTGGATGGCAATTCCACACCAAACATATTTTCCAGCGGCCTTCCTCCAGCTGGAGTGATGCTCCTTCTGGAAGGAATGACAGCCCAGATCCACACAGTGCTAAAATCCTGGTCAGTATTTGAGCTTTCAATTGTTTGCATTAATATTTGCTTATGGTCTGTCCCAGTAGTGCTGTAGCTCACAGTGTATGTGAGCTATTGCTTCAGAATCTCGTGTCTTCACTCTGGTTGTCACAGGGAGCGGAGAAGATTTCCCCCTGAATGGAACTTGAATTTTCGTATGGTTCTGGAATCAGTTTTGTGCACCTCTTCCCATCTCCTCAGGGTAAGATATAAAATTCCCCATTGCAGCAGGGGGAACAATTTGAGTTTCATTCCAGCTGTGATCCCCCTGGGGCTAAAACCAGATTGTTCTGTAGTACATACACATTTGGTCAGGTGATTGCAGAACTGTCTGACACTTGACATGGTGAGCAAGGACACGTGAAATGCTGAACTTCACTGAGGAACACTGCACTGAGAACCGTGAATGGAGTGAAGGGAGTCACTGACCCATCACTGAACTCCTCCAATCACTGCAACTGAAAAATTAACTCCAGGAACTTTTCTGGGATCCTCATCTGCATCCCATCTCTCCTATGATTTTAACACTCTAAGGGTGGGGAACATCCTGATCTACTCAGACTGGTAACAATACAAGTGAAATCACTTGTCTGGGTTGTCCTCAGCCACCATGAACACTCTGGACTTAATGCTATACCTTGTCACTGTAACTTTTTTTTATCAGTAATCATTATATATCTATATCTACCTGTCTATCCTATCTATCTGTCTGTGTGTCTATCCTATCTATCTGTCTGTGTGTCTATCCTATCTATCTGTCTGTCTGTCTGTCTATCTCTCTCTCTCTCTCTCCTGAGCAGGGACACTGCTTTGCCTTGTGGTTACTCCAGGGGCTGAGGAAGGCCCCTGAACTCCTCCCCGTGTCCATGGGCAGCTCCACCTGACTCCCAATCCATGCTGGCTCCTTTGCCAGATTTAACACAGGCTGTGCTGTAACCTACTGGCACTTCTTCACTTTTCTACTGGGGAGATACTCTGATTAAATCATCCATCTGTTATTTCCTGTCTGTGTAATAAATAATTCACTTTATAAAGACACCTCATTTGCCTTCACCAGAACGTGTGGGCCAGAGGGAGTCCTTAAATTTAAACTGCTGCCAAAATCTGAGGCTAAGGCCTGCCTGGCTCTGGCTCTGCACTCTCAGGAAGGTGCTTCCAGATGGCAAATGAACTGAAGCCTTTGTAAGATCCCTGTCCAGAAGAGATTTCTGCTATAATAACTACAAAGAACGAGCACAGAATCTCAAAAATGATGATTTGCCTCTGTGAACACCCCCTGCACAATGTGCACCCTGTGGCTGCACGGCAGGACACCTGGACAAGGCTCAGCTGTCAAAAGACAGCAATGGAAAATACACTTCCAAAAAACGGTGTTTATAGGGACCAAAGCTTTGGGAAGGAAAATGTAAAGGAACTGATGCAGTGATGGCTCTGGAAAGGGCTCCAGGACCAGCCAGATGACCATGGTTTGTGGTTTATCAGTCTGGAATGTGGCAGAGATAACAGCTCATGCTGCAGATAAGCCCAGGGCCACGCTCCCAGCCCCTGTCCCTGTGGATGCTGAGGGTGCAGGGTGACACCAAACCCACAGCTGGGGCAAAGCACACATTTAGCTCACTCCTGACTTTACACAGATGAGTGCTTGGATCTGCAGCCAGTGGAAACACACCCATGGTACACTTAGCACTTACACCCAGGTACCCTTAACAACCTGCAGCTCCCTCCTGGAATATAAAATAATATAAAATATACGTAATAGAATATAACAGAAAAGAATACAAAACAGAATACGAGCCAGTTTGCATGTAAAAAAAATATTTCTGCTCAGCTTTGTCACTGGCAACAAACAAGAACTTCATAATGACTTTTGAGGTAATTGCAGAATTTATCTCAAAATTAGATGTTTCCTGAAATATCCAAATGCATCCCCAAAAAGGTAACCTTGCCCCAAGGTTTAGGTCTAAATGCTGAAGTAATTTTCTCCTGGTGGTATGAAGAGCAATAATAAAAGTAATAATTTTGTTTCTGTGTTGCATCACTGCTCATCAAGGGCAATGCCAAGGGGAGATAATGAGAATACAATGAGAAGACAAGGGAGATAATGAGAACACAGCACAGGCCTGGGAGCACACTGTTTCTGCCTGTAATTGGCAACAGATGATTATCCCATGGGATAAGGGAGGAAAAGGACAGAGCACACGGCCAGAAGGTCAGTGCCAAGGCTGGGGGAGCTGGCAGGGAGAGAAAACTGAGGAAATCTGAAGAGCAAAAATGGCATTTCTACAACATGACCTCCAAGAGCAGCAGCTGGGGCTGAAGGATGGGTCCCCAAAAGGACACATCATCAGCCAGAGGAGCAGGATGGACACTCAAAAATGATGAATTTACCCTTTCTGTTAACAGCACAAAGATCAAAACCCCACCTGGGGCTAAAAAGAGTTTCTGCTTCCAGGTGGGAGCGTGTCAGCTGGAAAGGACAGAGAGACGTGGGGACATCAACAAATCACCTCTTAATGTGCAAAACTGATGTGAGTGGCCACAAAAACAACTTGTGATCTCAGAGGTGTCTCAGGAAAAGCCTTTCCATGGAAAACACCCACAAGTGAGACTCCCCTGACAATCTGTGTGTGGGTCTGCTCTCCCACCCTCAGGAATGTCCCACTGCCAGCAGTGCCACCAGCAGGACCCAGGATGGCACCTGGAATGCTGAGCCTCTCACCAGTGAGCCCAGAGATTTCTGTTTGGCTTTTAACAAACAGGGGGCTGGGCTGGGGAGTGGGAGCTCCCCTGGAAACACCTGGGAGCTGAGGAAAGCTGTTGTTGTACAAAGGCTGCAACAGGATAAAAGCAAGCAGGTACAAACTGGCCCTAAAAACAGCCAAAGAAAGTCAGGAGAGGGCTCCTGAGCAGGAAATTCCAGCAGTGGCCCAGAACCCCCTGTGATATGGAGCTGGTGTGGCGGTGAGGGAATTCTGAGACTCTGCACCTGTAACACCTTGCAGGCCCCTTCTGGACTCTGACCAGAAAATTCCTGAGGACTTTCAGTGCCTTACCTGGAGCACAGGGAATTCTCCAGCACCAAGGTGAACTGCCCCAGGTGCAGGATGGATCCCACCTTTGGGACAGCAGCAGCCCCTGGCCAGCCCTGGGGCAGCCCTCTGCAGCCAGGTGTGCCCAGCTGCAGCTCCTGGGCCTCACCTGTCTCTCAGGGCGTGGTTCCTGATCTCCTCCACCAGCTGGAAGACGCGGGCCAGCGGCGAGCGGAACACATCCACGGCCAGGAAGTTCTTCTGCCACGGGGACACGGTGGCTTTCACAAAGATCTGCTGGATGTAGGCCACGGGAGCCCCCACGTACTGCGGGGAAACAGGCAGGGTCAGGGCACTGCTGCCCGGGGGCTGGGTAATCACACAGACACACAGCTGCCCCACGATTCTCCTGGGAAGCTGTGAGAAAGCTCAGAGCAAGAATTAGAACAACTGTTATCTCTCTCTCTGTAACTGTTGTTTGTAGATATGATTCTCCAGAGTGTGCTATTCATACTTCGCCAATAGTGTGAGAGAAGATTCCTAAAAACCAATCAAGTCTTTAAGTCCACCATTGTTTCTATAAAAACTGTAGATTTCTAATAAAAAAGTACCTTTTCATACCTTCTAGTGACAGAATCTCTGCATCACCTTTGTCTGTCCCAGCAGCCCTTCAGTGACAGGGGTCTGTGTACAAACCCCCAGTGGGACAGGACTGCTGGGAATGTGTCTTGAGCTGTTTTATTTTCCAGCATAACTCTCCATGGTTATGACAATGGGAAGATGCCAGCAGCTCACATCCCAAGCAGCAGATCAAGATCTCAGTGTTACAACTCACTTTAAAAAAGTGTTTTGCCCAATCACACAAAGCAAAAGCACATGGACAGTAGTTCTATCCAACCACTATAAGCACAGGTACCTTTGGTTAAACAATGCTTATTTCAAATACAATACCTGCTTGTGAGCCTTCAAACACAATGCACAGAGCTCCATTGTTAAGCTTAGAACTTCCTAATATCTTCCTAGATATTCCTTCCTAAAACCCTCTGAGTTTAAAGATTCCCACAGCTGGGGAGCTCCCAGAGAATCAGAGCAGAATGGCTTTGCCAGACTGTTTTCCCTTCCCAAATCAGAGGTGGAACACGGCAGGACTCAGCAGGCAAGAACAAAAGGAATCTGAGTCTCTGTCTGCATTGTAGGGAGCTCAAAGCCCACCCAGTGCCACCCCTGCCATTCAGGGACACTTCCACTGTCCCAGGTGCTCCCAGCCCCAGTGTCCAACCTGGCCTGGGCACTGCCAGGGATCCAGGGGCAGCCACAGCTGCTCTGGGCCATCAATCAGGTGCTGGGCAGCCCAGCAGGGCCGTGTCCCTCCTGTGTCCCTCCCATGTCCCTCCCATGCCCCAGCAGGGCCGTGTCCCTCCCGTGTCCCCATGTCCCCAGCAGGGCCGTGTCCCTCCTGTGTCCCTCCCATGTCCCTCCCATGCCCCAGCAGGGCCGTGTCCCTCCCGTGTCCCCATGTCCCCAGCAGGCCCATGTCCCTCCCCATGTCCCCATGTCCCCAGCAGGGCCGTGACCTTCCTGTGTCCCAGCAGGGCTGTGTCACTCCCCATGTCCCAGCAGGGCCGTGTCCCTCCCATGTCCCTCTAATAAATTAGACGTTCCCCGAAATACCGGAATGCGTCCCCAAAAAGGTAACCTTGCCCCAAGGTTTAGGCTGAAGTCTAAATGGCCTAAATTTAGACCAATGGTTAGGTCTAAATGTTGAAGTAATTTTCTCCTGGTGGTATGGAGAATAACAATAAAAGTAATCATTTATATTACTTTCTATAATAATAATAATAACAAGGAGGAGAAGAAGAAGGAGAAGGAGAAGGAGAAGGAGAAGGAGAAGGAGAAGGAGAGGAGAAGGAGAAGGAGAAGGAGAAGGAGAAGGAGAGGAGAAGGAGAAGGAGAAGGAGAAGGAGAAGGAGAAGGAGAAGGACCTCCGTGTCCCTCCGTGTCCCTCCGTGTCCCTCCGTGTCCCTCCGTGTCCCTCCGTGTCCCTCCGTGTCCCTCCGTGTCCCTCCGTGTCCCTCCGTGTCCCTCCGTGTCCCTCCGTGCCCCAGCAGGGCCGTGTCCCTCCGTGTCCCTCCCCGTGTCCCTCCGTGTCCCTCCGTGTCCCTCCCGTGCCCCAGCAGGGCCGTGTCCCTCCATGTCCCTCCGTGTCCCTCCGTGTCCCTCCCATGTCCCTCCCGTGCCCCAGCAGGGCCGTGTCCCTCCGTGTCCCTCCGTGTCCCTCCGTGCCCCGCAGCACTCACCCAGTCGGGGCGCTCTCCAGGCTCCCCGGGCTGTGGCCCCTGCTCCCCGGGGGGAGCGTAGTCCTTCAGGGGCGTGCTGAACTCCACGGGGCCCGTCCCTGGCAGGGGCAGCTTCAGCAGGGGGGAGCTGGGGGGACACAACCAGGCAAAGCCCTCATCTTGGAGGTTCATGGACTCTTTTAGGCAGAATAAATTAGATGTTCCCCGAAATACCGGAATGCGTCCCCAAAAAGGTAACCTTGCCCCAAGGTTTAGGCTGAAGTCTAAATGGCCTAAATTTAGACCAATGGTTAGGTCTAAATGTTGAAGTAATTTTCTCCTGGTGGTATGAAGAATAACAATAAAAGTAATCATTTATATTACTTTCTATAATAATAATAATAACAAGGAGGAGAAGGAGAAGGAGAAGGAGAAGGAGAAGGAGAGGAGAAGGAGAAGGAGAAGGAGAAGGAGAGGAGAAGGAGAAGGAGAAGGAGAAGGAGAGGAGAAGGAGAAGGAGAAGGAGAAGGAGAGGAGAAGGAGAAGGAGGTAGAGGAGACGAAGGAGAAATATTTCTGTAACAATAATAATAATAGAAGAGTTAAAAAAATGGCCAATCCCACTTTGGCAAAGCCAAGCTGTGCAGGACAGGAGACCCAGCAAGGTGGCTTTGGCTTTCATGGGACACACTGCTACCCCAGAGTCCTTCTCCCTTGGAAAGGGATGGAAAAGTCCTGGGAGAGAAGGGAAGAGCTTGCAGGGCCTCTCCTGGATTCCTCCAGCCAAGTTAGGTGTGACAACAACCACTCAGTATGGCATGGCTCAGTAACTGTGCATCCCACCCAAAGCCCAGACATTCCCTGTGCTCCAGTGGCTGCTTCCCTGCCCCAAAGCCTTTATAATCCTCTGCTTTTCCTCATTTACAAAACTTGTCATTAACCTCATTGGTCCTGAAAGCACTTTTAAGAGCAGCAGTGAGACACCAAAACTGTGAAATCTTGATCTTGCTGCTTTGCCACCACAACCTCTGGTGATTGTAGCTCCTGTTCCACAAGAGCGACTTTGAACTACTCAGAAATTGAGAAAATGAGGTTACAGAGAGTTTAGAATGGGATTTTTAACTCCAAATGTTCTCAAAAGTGGTTTAAAGCAAATCAGAATTGAACTGGTGGGAAAACAAGGCTGCTGACACACAGAGATCCACAGAGAATCTGGAGCTGTCAGCACCAAACTGCAGATCAGAACTTCAGTCTTTTTGTGGCCTTACAATTCCTGATACATTTTCCTGTTTGGAGATGAATTTTGGGGCAATACTGACACAATAACTAGAAAGGCCTTGGAATTGTTGTCCTGCAAGGCTCTGCCCACTTCATTAGGGATTAGTTTGGATCATCAAAGGCCATGGAGGAACAAGCAGCACCTAAACACAAGGCTTCAGAGAGAACAACAAACAGTGAAAAAGAACAAGAAAATCAGAAGCCAAGCTTGTCAGATTTGCTCTTTATTGGTCTGACAGAAACACATCTAATTATTAGCATTTCCTTGAGCAAGGGCGGGGAAGAGAAAAAGGAATAATGAGATCAAGCCTAAGAGATAAACAAAGCAGGTTCAACAGAACATTGAGGAGGAATTATTTTTTCCCTAAGTGATTTCAGTGTTGGCAACTGTGTCCAGAAATCCAAGGAAAACACTTGAGATTCACAGAAGGTTTTGCAGAGGAGTATTCCCTGTGAGTCCCCTGTGAGTTGGGAGGAGTCACAACAGCAGTTTTTTGTAGAATTTGAGTCACTTACAACCAGAGACTGCTCAGATTTAGTCTGGCTGTGGAGTCAGCTCAGATTTAGTCTGATTGTGGAGTCAGCTCAGATTTAGTCTGGCTGTGGAGTCAGCTCAGATTTAGTCTGTGGAGTGTGTCCCCCTGCCCTGGGTGTCTGTGCTGGCAGTGCTGGCAGTGCTGCTGCTGTCCCAGTGCCTTTCCAAGGGGATCTGTCACCCTGGCATCCCCTGGGCAGCAGAGTCCCCTCCAGGGGCAGGAGGGCTCAGCTCTCCTGCAGGCCCAGTGACAGGTGCTGACTCCAGGTGGGATGAGCAGCTCTGCTGTGAGAGCAGGGCAGGAGGGGATTCTCTCTGAGCTCTCAGTCCTGGTCCATGGCCCAGCGTGGAGGGAAAAGGGGCTCCCTGTGTGAACCTGGCCCTCCTGTTTGGGACCCACCAGGTGCTGGGAACACGGAATGCTGGAGTGCTTTGGGATGGAAGGGACCCTGAGGACCATCCAGTGCCACCCTGCCATGGCAGGGACACTTCCACTGTCCCAGGTGCTCCCAGCCCTGTCCAGCCTGGCCTGGGCACTGCCAGGGATCCAGGGGCAGCCACAGCTGCTCTGGGTGTGCTGTGACAGCTCTGGGTCACTGACACTGCACGGGGGCCCAGAGGGAAGAACAGCCCCACCTCAGCTCCAGGGAAGGCATTTCCAGCACTTGGGTTTGACTCTCCTCATATTCCTGTGTGTTAGGGATTTTTCTGAGCAGCAGGGAAAGAGGTGAACACGAGAATGGAGAGCACAGACAGAGGAGGGAAGAACAGCAGGACCTGAAATGGCCACAAACCAAACCACACCAGCTGCAGCTCAGCAGCAGGAACAGCCTCTGCCCATGGAGGGGCAGAGCCCTGGAACAGCTCCCAGGGGGGCTGCAGTCTCCTCTCTGGAGACATCCCAGACCCCCTGGACACAGCCCAGGGGACCCTGCCCTGCCAGGCTGTGATCCTGGGATCCAACAAAGATGACAGGAAAGCTCAGGTTGCTCTATTTGGGAAAGGCTCTGTTTAGATGCTCGTGTCACTGTGCACCCCGACACCCCTCTGAAACCCCAGAATAAAGGAAACACAGATCCTGCAACCAGGTGGAGCTGCTGAACTGCAGCAGGAGCTGCATTTCAGCCCCCAGCACGAGGGAGGAGCAGGCAGAGGTGCTCACCCAAGTACCTGACACATTCTGAAGACAGCTCAGGGGACCAAGATGGAGCAGGGCCAGGAGAGCTCCAGGCAAATCCCTCCCTGCACATTCCCCCTCCCTGCCCCAGCGGGCAGAGGGAAGCAGGGAGCTGCCAGGTCTCAGGTAACAGGAAAGGAGCTGATCCATGGAATTAAACCAGCTCCCAGCAGGACAAGCTTGTCTGCAGCCAAGACAGAGCAGCCTGGAATGCCAGTGCTGAGGAGGGAGGGAATCTGCTAACAGGACCCTGCCAGAGGGCTGGCAAGGCCAGGATCTGGCAGCAGCAGTGCCTTTTTAGCCTTGGCAAGTGCACCAACAACCTGCTTCTGAGTAAGTGGTGGTGGCTGTGCCCTGCTTGCCTCTGACAGGGCCCCGAAATTCTGCACTGGAAAGGAGATTCCCCTCTCGTGTGCAGCACAAGCTGCTCCCAGCGCCATGCTGAAACCCCAGAGGAGGCTCTGTCCTCTGGGATCGGGAACACGAAGAGTCTGAGTCTAATTCAGGTCCTCTGGTTACCACACAAATAGTACAGATCCGTGCAAGAGTGATACATTCTTACAGAACTAATTAGCTGCTGAACTGCAGCAGGAGCTGCATTTCAGCCCCCAGCACGAGGGAGGAGCAGGCAGAGGTGCTCACCCAAGTACCTGACACATTCTGAAGACAGCTCAGGGGACCAAGATGGAGCAGGGCCAGGAGAGCTCCAGGCAAATCCCTCCCTGCACATTCCCCCTCCCTGCCCCAGCGGGCAGAGGGAAGCAGGGAGCTGCCAGGTCTCAGGTAACAGGAAAGGAGCTGATCCATGGAATTAAACCAGCTCCCAGCAGGACAAGCTTGTCTGCAGCCAAGACAGAGCAGCCTGGAATGCCAGTGCTGAGGAGGGAGGGAATCTGCTAACAGGACCCTGCCAGAGGGCTGGCAAGGCCAGGATCTGGCAGCAGCAGTGCCTTTTTAGCCTTGGCAAGTGCACCAACAACCTGCTTCTGAGTAAGTGGTGGTGGCTGTGCCCTGCTTGCCTCTGACAGGGCCCCGAAATTCTGCACTGGAAAGGAGATTTCCCTCTCGTGTGCAGCACAAGCTGCTCCCAGCGCCATGCTGAAACCCCAGAGGAGGCTCTGTCCTCTGGGATCGGGAACACAAAGAGTCTGAGTCTAATTCAGGTCCTCTGGTTACCACACAAATAGTACAGATCTGTGCAAGAGTGACACATTCTTACAGAACTAATTACAAATAAATGTTTACACACACACATCCACCTCCCCAGGGGCTCTGGTTCCAGCCAGTTCTGCCACTCTTCAGGAGCAGAACCTGAGCTCCAGTTAAATAACAAAGCCCTGTTTAATTGCCCTAAAGCTGCTGCAGAGTCACCTGGGTCACCTGCAATCCTCACCTGGACTAAAAGCTGCTCCTCAGAGTAGCACTGGGATCTCATATTTCCATGTGCCACCTGCTCCTCTCTGGGCTGCTGTCAGACAAGGTTGGTGACACCCCCATGCCAGGGAAAATGCAGATCCCAACACAGATCCATTCAAGTGGGATGAGGAAAATGAGTGTCACCTACAAAGGGATTTATAAGAAAACTCTCCCTCTGATGTGGGGACTAACTTGGATTTTCAGACTTTAGGACTAGAGAGTAAGAATGAGTCACAGGATTTTTTGCTTTGGGTATTAATTTATTATCAAACCCACAGATGCTGTGTCTTGTCAGTGACATTAAAAACAGGGTCTGTACAAACCCTCCCAAGAGCACCCAAAACAACCAGGCCAGACTGTGGTTTCCTTACTCCCTGCATGGTCACTGCCCCCACCTGCCTGAGGCCAGAACCCCTGCTGGATAAACTGTGGACCTCGTGCTTTATTTCAACTTTTTAAAACTGTCTGCACACAAAAAATGGTGGGGTTTGGCTGATGTGAGGGGGAGGAAAGCCACAGTAACTGAGATCACCTATCTGCAGCAGAATTCCACAAGCTCTCCTTGATGCCAGGTCCAGCAGTCAGGACTGATGCACCCCTCTCCCTCTGAAGGGCTCAGGATACCAGACCCTCTCTCGTTTGCAGGGATGTCTTTATTACCCCGGGTCAGGGGGGCCTTGGCAGCGCTGGGGAATATTGGGCTCCATGATCTGAAGGCCTTCTCCAGCTTCACCATTTCCATGGCTCCGTGAGCCCCCTGCCCTGTGCTGGTGTCAGTCCAGCGGGCTCCATGATCTGAAGGCCTTTTCCAGCTTCACCACTTCCATGGCTCCGTGAGCCCCCTGCCCTGTGCTGGTGTCAGTCCTGAGGGTGCACACAGTGCTGAGGGTGCTGCCAGCCCTGCAGCACAGAAATGCTGCCCAAATGAGCCTCTGCCTCAGTGCTGGGCTCAGGTCATTCCCTGCCTGCTCCTGCACAGGGGGGGCTGGCATGCACCAGTGAAACCCAGCCGGGAGAGGAGTGCTGCCACAGAGCACACACAGCTCAGCTGCAGCAGGGCAGCCGTGCCAAGCAGCACCCCTGCATCCTCAGCACGGCACAGGGCACCAGCTCCAGGCAGCACAATGCACCAGCCCCCGTGCAGCACACAATGCACAGGCCCCCGTGCAGCACACAATGCACAGGCCCCCGTGCAGCACACAATGCACAGGCCCCCGTGCAGCACACAATGCACAGGCCCCCGTGCAGCACACAATGCACAGGCCCCCGTGCAGCACACAATGCACAGGCCCCCGTGCAGCACACAATGCACAGGCCCCCGTGCAGCACACAATGCACAGGCCCCCGTGCAGCACACAATGCACAGGCCCCCGTGCAGCACACAATGCACAGGCCCCCGTGCAGCACACAATGCACAGGCCCCCGTGCAGCACACAATGCACAGGCCCCCGTGCAGCACACAATGCACAGGCCCCCGTGCAGCACACAATGCACAGGCCCCCGTGCAGCACACAATGCACAGGCCCCCGTGCAGCACACAATGCACAGGCCCCCGTGCAGCACACAATGCACAGGCCCCCGTGCAGCACACAATGCACAGGCCCCCGTGCAGCACACAATGCACAGGCCCCCGTGCAGCACACAATGCACAGGCCCCCGTGCAGCACACAATGCACAGGCCCCCGTGCAGCACACAATGCACAGGCTCCCATGCAGCACACAATGCACAGGCCCCCGTGCAGCGCACAATGCACCAGCCCTTGTACAGCACACAATGCACCAGCCCCCGTGCAGCACACAATGCACAGGCTCCCATGCAGCACACAATGCAGCACACAATGCACCAGCCCCCGTGCAGCAATCCCTTCACTCTCACACCCTGGCGTGCAGGTGTAGGACCCACTCTGGAGGAGTTCTGACCTAATTAGCAAAGCCACTTCTCACGCCACAATTAACACCTGTTCTCAGAGGTTAATGCACAGCAGCTCAGAGCAGGACCCAAAACACCCCGAAAAGGGTTCTAAAGGGAACAAGGCCTGCAGCCCCACCCCAGGCTGAGACCCTCCTGCTCTCCAGGGGTGTCACCATGTGCTTGCCACCTGTCCCTCCCAGGGCCAGGATCTGCTTCGCTAAGGAGCTCCTGGAGCTCATGAAAGCAAACAGACTCTTCACACCTGATGGTGTCCTGGATGGATTTCTGCAGCCTGCAGGAAACCAGTCCCTGCACAATCCTCAAACGTTGGCACTCAGGAGAGCAGACACTTCCACAAGCCCACAGTTACCAAAGCCTGGAGCCTCAGCTGCCTGCTCTGAGCAGTGACAGGGCACGTCCAAGCCCTGACCCAGCGGTGGTGACCCTGATCAGATTGTCTCCTCTCCAGGAAATCCTGAATTTCAGAAGGGAATATGCACGTGTTGATCCCTCCCGAAACACCACGTTTTGTGGGTGAACATGTCACACTGCAGCAGTTGTGCTGCACTGGCTGCCTGGGAGAGCTGGAATGAAGAGCCTGAGCCATCCTGGAAGCCATTCCCAAGCAGGAGTGAGGTGACACAGAGACACACGTGGGACTCTGCTGGCTGCAGCTTCCAGGTGAAGAAATGCCACTTTTGGAAAGCTGCACCTGGCAAAGCTGGAGCCAAAACACAGAGCTGCTACTTGCAACCATATCGAAGACAGAGAAATGTAGGAACCACTTGGTTGGGCCTTGCAGAAGCTTCATGTCCTACAGGACAAGAGACCTGAGAATAAAACTGTCCCTGGAAGTGACAAGGAGTCCTGTGGAGCAGGGAAAATCCAGGGAGCAATGCCCCCACTGCTGCTCACAACCACTAAGGGTTCCAGCCAGGAGAAGCCATCTCAGAGGTTATCCATGTGAAAATCCTTCCTTTGACAATGTTTTAACTGAGATGTGCAAGCAGCCCCTGTCACCACCACAGCTCAAAGGAAAACCTGTGTCTGTGTGGAGCTGTCCTACAAACAGGGGAGCAAATCATCACAACGGCTTTATTTTGCCCAAAACAGACAAAAGAATTAAACCCTGCAAGACACAATCTGTATATGCACATGTGTGCATGGTCTGGGGACAAAGGTTTGCCCAGCCCCACAGTGCCCTGCTGGAGATGATTCTGAGCCCGTGGGACATTCCTGGGAATAAAATTATATCCACCTGCAAACTAGGGATCCAAATGAGGGTCCATAAGGAGAGTGGGGAATCTACTCCCACATGGGCGTGCCAAGCATGAAACAGAAGAGTGCAGGCTCCAGGGAGAACAGGACAGGCAGGTGTGCAAAGAAAGATCAGCTTTCCTTCTCCCCATTTTTAATTCATGGCTTTGGAGTCCACTACCAGGTGCTTGAGGGTTACCTTCATGTCATTTATTGCTTCACTTCACTTATTCAATTAGTTCTTATTAAACCAGATGCAGACACTTCATCCCTGTTGTTTCTTCTGTCCCACAAAAGATGACAAAACCTATCAAGTCTAAGTTTAAAACAGCTTCTGGGTGGGCCCAGAAGGGAGCAGGCAGGACTCACCAGCAGGCCAGGATGCAGAGGGCAGTGAAGAGGATGATGGGGATGGGGTAGGAAGCACAGAGCAGCCCGTGGCTGTAGAACGCCCGCGAAATCCTCTCGCGCAGCCTTTCAGTCAGGGTCATCCTCACCTCCAGGCCATCCCGGGACACAGCAGCGTGGGCAGCCCTGCAGGGAGGCACTGCCTCCAGCTGGGGAGGGCAAAGGGAGAGAAACACGTGAGGAGAAGGGAAATCAACCTTATCAGCTCCTTTTAGAAAGATGCCCAGCGTTCAGGAAGGAACCATCCCTGGCAGGGTGGGCAGCCCTGGCACAGGTGCCCACAGCAGCTGGGGCTGCCCCTGCATCCCTGGCAGTGCCCCAGGCCAGGCTGGACAGGGCTGGGAGCAGCCTGGGATTGTAGAAGGTGCCTCTGCCATGGCAGCAGTGGAACTGGATGATCCTAAAGGTCCTTTGCAGCACAAACCACCCCGGCATTTATTCCTTGGTTCTATGAAATGGCTGAGCAGATCTCAGCCTCACTGTCAGAACCATCCCTGTTCCAGGAGGAACTCAGGAACAACAGGGGTATGCTGCTCCTGGGGCAAAAAATACACCAGAAGTGGCTCTCTGACCAGCTGAGCTGCCAAAAGGTGCTCTGGGGAGGAGCACAGCACTGGCAACAATTTCTGCTAATTTCGAGGAGGAAAACTTTCTGTTTACTCTCTTCACCTGCTGCCAACAGCAGAATTCTGTAAGAAAACACAGAGCATTCCAAAGCTAGTATTTCTTTATCACTTGGGGGGGTTGCATATTAAAATCTGCTATCTTTATTTGCTTTATGCTGTGACAGAGCTCCTAAGAGAGAACAGCAGGAATTGTTCCTGCTCCAAGTAATTTCTGCAAACAGAGATTGTCTAAGCCAAAATAAACCTGTGGATTGCAGGACAAATGTTAAAGGAGAATTTCTTGCCTCTTGCATGGCTGCAAATCCAAGACAAAGCTTGCCTGGAAGCACGAGGGCAGAGGGATGTGTCCACCTTGCAGCCCGCTGGTGACATTTCTGGCTCACTTCAGGTACAAGAGATGGACACGGCACAAAATCCAGGATCAGTGAGCCTGGAAAATCCCCCAAGGCCACTGAGTCCACCCTGTGCCCCATGCCCACCTTGTCCCCAGCCCAGAGCACTGAGTGCCACCTCCAGGGACACCTGCAGGGGTGGGGACTCAGCACTGCCCGGGGCAGCCCCTTCCAACACTGAACCTCTCTTTAGTGAAGGAATTTCCCAAATTTCCACCCTGAGCCTGCTCCCTCTCCTCCTGTCCCTGTTCCCTGGAGCACAGCCCGACCCCCCCTGGCTCCTGCACTCTCACAAAATCAAGGCTGGCCAGCAGAGGGAAGAAATATAGAACTTCCCTTTGCAGGAAAAATCAACTCAAACTTGCTACTTTTCCCCAGACAAAAGCTTTTATCTCACTCAACAATAGTTACATGTTCCAAATTCTTTACATTTCTGTCTGAAAGGCTTTACAGCCTTCCCAGGAGCCTCCCTGGACACTAAGGGCAGGGAAACACAGCAGAGCCCACTGAGCTGAGAGGATAAACTAACAAAGGTAGAAAACTCCCCCTTTTCTAACACACAGTCACCTGGGGTTTCAGGCATACTCAACTCCTCAGTTTCCCACAAAATGTTCTGGAAGCAGGCCTCAGCATTAGTGTAATAAAAACACACAGCTGAGCCAGTGAAGCTGGAGGGGGGAAACAGAAGGAAAAATCCCAAATAAATCCCCGTTCCGTAGTGCTTTTCTCGCCCTTCAATACATTCAGTAATTTGCTCCATCGTGTTGCCTACATCTGAGCCTCCAAGGGGGATTTCAACCCAGCCTTTTCCCTTTACAACCCAGGCTTGGCAAAGCAGGAGCAGCATGGTCCTTCTGCCCCTGTTCCAGCATCCCAGCAGGTTGCACACAGCCAGGGGCTGACCTGGCTGTCCATACCTGTTCTCAGGTGGAACACCCCAGCCCTGTGCAGCCCCGGGGCAGATGGAGCTGTGAGGAGTCCCCCTGCCAAGGAAGGACAGGGGAGGAAGGAATGGGAAAGAAGGAAGAATTTACTAAAAATGAGGATTTATAAAGGTCACTGGGTTGGTCTGTGCTGTTGGAACAGCTCAATGTGATGCTCACACACCTGAGGGCCAGGTGGGCCAAGGACCACCAGCAGTAAGAGAGGGGCCACCAGCAGTAATTGCCCCTCCTGGTGCTGCAGGCACTGCCTTGTACCCATAAATCCACCAAGCCCACGGAGGCTCCTGGGGATCAGAGAGCATCCTGCCTCCAGAGCTGCCCCAGAACACGTGGAAGCAGCAGGAGCGACACCAGAGCAGCCAGAGCACCTCAGATTCCTGCAGGAACTGACACATCTCACCTGGGCTCCAGCTCAGAGCCTCCTTGCTGTCCTGAAACGCAGGCAGGGGTTACAGGTGTTTCCCTCACTCCTGGCTCCTCCAGCTCACACAGAGCAGAGGATCCACCACCAACCCTGCTGATCCTGCCAACAGCTCCCAGCCCTCCCCACAGCAGTGCCCAAACCCAGTGCCACAGGCACCCCAGGACAAGGGAAATCTCGGGCTCCCTGCAGATCAGAAAGCAGATCCTGGGTTGCTCACACCCCAGCAAAGCAGCTGGATTTCCTTGCCCTCTGCTGGGCCCTGGAGGTGGCTCAGGGCTCCGATGCTCTGAGCCATCAGCCACTGCTCTCACTGCCACGGGAGCTCCCAAACCTCACTGCCCACCAAGGGAGGAGGGCAGGCAGAGAGGCACAGACCTCAGAAGCCAACTCTCCTCTCCTCAGCAGGCAGGGACCGTCCCCCATCGAGGGCCAGGGAACATTCCTCAGGGCTTCAGAGGTGGGAAAACAAGAGCCTGGCTCCAGACAAGCTCCTTCAGAGAAAAGCTGCACAATGGGCTCTAACAGCAAGGTCCTGCTCTCCCCTGGCATTCCCATGGGAAAAATAAGGGGCTTTGTGCTGCCAGAGGACACGGAGGTCACGAGGAACAGAGCACTTCCTATGGGAAAATCCAGTGCTCTAACCCGGGGGAGCCTGCTGCCTGCAAGGGGTTAATCCTACTGCTGCTGCCAGGAACAAGGCCTGGCTGCAAGGGGTTAACCCCAGCAGTGCCGTCCCGACCAAGGCTCCGGACAGCTGCAGTCCCAGGACCAGGACGGCTGCAGTCCCAGGACAGCTGCAGCCCCGGGACAGCTGCAGCCCCAGGACAGCTGCAGTGCCAGGACGGCTGCAGTGCCAGGACAGCTGCAGTGCCCAGGACAGCTGCAGTGCCAGGACAGCTGCAGCCCCAGGACAGCTACAGTCCCCAGGACAGCTGCAGTCCCAGGACAGCTGCAGTGCCCAGGACAGCTGCAGCCCCAGGACAGCTGCAGCCCCAGGACAGCTGCAGCCCCAGGACAGCTGCAGTCCCAGCGGATGGCTGCACAGGGGCACTTTCCCCGTTCCAAAGGCAGAAGATGACATGCTGAGCGCACTCCCTCCGCTCCAGCTCCGGGGCTACAGCAGGGCTCAAAGTCTGACACAAGTGTGAGCCTCATTTCCATCCCCAAATTGTGCAAACTTACTTCATTTTACCTGCTCTGCCCGACTTTGCCAGTTTTGCCCCACTTCTTTTTGCCTGTTTTCCTCCCCGTACAACATTCATTTGCGGTTTGAGTTTAAAAATTCTGAGGTTGTCTGGAACAGACCCCATTTTTTAACTGGCATTTCACTCACATTACATATTATTAACATCTCTTGAAAAGCTGGAGTAGCAACAACAACAAAGATTTAAAGAGAACACTTCAGTAATCTCTGTATGTCAGATAAAGTTATCTGCTCCCAAAACATGGGCTGACATTCAAAATCAGTTTCCAAAACGGTTTTCAGGACATCTTTAAACTTTTCTGCCACAAGAGAAGAACCTCAGTTACACTCCTGCTTTGGAAGTCATTCACTGAATGTGGTTTCCATCCTTTCTTCCTTCCCAAAATACTCCCAGCAGCACCAGACAAGAGCTTGTTGCTGTGGACCATGAGACAGGATAGGATGTTCCACATCAGAGCCACGAAGCACAGAAGTTTGGGTTTTGTGGCAGAAAGAGAAAATAATCCAAATTTAAAAAAACCATGATTTCAAAGTTCCCTCCTTTGGCTGCATCCAGCCAAGGGAAGCTCCCTTGCACAGAGCTCCCAAACACAAGGAAACAGAGAAGAAGAACAGAGACTGCAAACACAAGGAAACATTTCCCAAGCCCTTCTTCTCCAGCACAGAGTTCCTGCCCCACCCTGCACAGGTGCAATGATCCACCTCCACAGGCACAGAACCCCAGAGTGGTTTGGGCAGGAAGGAACCTTAAAGATCATCCAGTTCCAGCAAGTGGGATGTGATGCACGGGGAAAACACCATCCTGGGATCCCCATCTCGATTCCCTGGAGGTGTGACACCGTGCAGTGTGAGACAGGAAACTGTGTGTCAGGAATGAGGAATGGAATGGAATCGGGATGTAAATCCATCCTCACACATGCTGAGCAATCCTGCTCCTCCTCCTCATCCCACAAGGGACACAGGAGAGCTCAAGGATGCCCAAAGACAGAGAGCAGCCTCCCAAGGATGCCCAAAGACAGAGAGCAGCCTCCCAAGGATGCCCAAAGACAGAGAGCAGCCTCCCAAGGATGCCCAAAGACAGAGAGCAGCCTGGGAAGGCTTTTCCAGCTGCAGCAATTTGATCAGGAGGGGACCCCAGGAACAACTCTGTGTGCAGCTCCCTGTGTGCATCAAACCAACTGCGGAGCAGCAGCTCAAAATAAAGCCGAGCTAAGCCGGGGAAATCCTCTCCCAGGACACTGTGCCTGTCTCAGGGGGTGCACAGGCAGCAGAGGAGCACCAGGCACCGCTGAGCACAGCCAGGGTGGGGTCCCTTGGCTCCAGGGGTCCTGGGACCCGAGCCCCTGGCTGGCTGCTCTCTTGGTGCATCCTGGCCACGCTCAGGAATCCCAGGGACCCAGAGAGGCCAGAGCCTGCCCTGGCAAACCCTGACACAAAGCATCCCACGTGATCCCTTTGGAATAATCTCCTCCTCTTTGTTTATCCATGCAGCCGCTCTACAAGTGCCTGGGGAATCACTTTCTCCTAAAAATACCAGAGCCTGATGCAAGAGCCACGTGCA